ATATATATATATATATATATATAACATAAAAGCGACCATAAATGGTACCACAAGATTGGTAACCTTCATGGGAGGGGGAGGGCGCAGCACACCTTAATCCCAGCACTTGGGAGGCAAAGTCAGGTGGATCTCTGTGAGTTCAAGGCCAGCATGGTCTGTATAACAGGAGTTCCAGAATGGCCAGAGCTACAGAGAAACCCTGTCTTGAAAAATCAAAAAGTAAAACAAACAAACAAACGGTAACCTTCAAACAACTTTTTATGAGACCGAGGCTTCTGGGTCGGTTAAACACTATTTTCAAGACTGTTAGGTGTGTATGTCACAGGTCCGTGATGAAGTGGGCCTGTGTATATCCTCCTGTTCCTCCCTTTTCATGTGACCTTGCTCACGTGCGTATCCTTCCGGCCCTGTGGAGGGACTCTGGCACTCAGCTGGGTGTTTCATAAAGCCTGGCTAGGTAGTCGGCCCTGGGTGCCACCCTGGAAACAAAGCCTTCTCTACCTGTGGGCTTTGACGTGTTTGTGTTTTACAGAAACTTCAGAGGATCTGGGAAAGAACATCTTACCGCCTGCAAGCACAGAGCACAGTGGAGATTCGAAGCCCTCTTCCGTAGACGCCAGCTGCGTGAGGGAAGACTCAGGCTTCCTGTGCTGGAAGAAAGGGTGCAACCAGGTTTTCAAAACCTCCGCCGCCCTTCAGACCCATTTCAACGAGGTGCACGCCAAGAGGCCCCAGCTGCCCGTGTCAGACCGCCACGTGTACAAGTACCGCTGCAATCAGTGCAGCCTGGCTTTCAAGACCGTTGAAAAGCTGCAGCTCCATTCTCAGTACCACGTGATCCGAGCCGCCACCATGTGCTGCCTGTGCCAGCGCAGTTTCCGGACTTTCCAGGCTCTGAAAAAACACCTGGAGACAAGCCACCTGGAGTTGAGCGAGGCCGACATCCAGCAGCTTTACGGGGGGCTCCTAGCCAACGGGGACCTCCTGGCGATGGGGGACCCCACGCTGGCCGAAGACCACACCATAATTGTCGAAGAAGACAAGGAGGAGGAGAGTGACCTGGAAGATAAGCAGAGCCCCACGGGCAGCGACTCCGGGTCGGTGCAGGAAGACTCGGGCTCAGAGCCAAAAAGAGCGCTGCCCTTCAGGAAGGGCCCCAACTTCACCATGGAGAAGTTTCTGGATCCCTCTCGCCCTTACAAGTGCACCGTCTGCAAGGAATCCTTCACGCAGAAGAACATCCTGCTGGTGCACTACAACTCCGTCTCGCACCTGCATAAGTTAAAGAGGGCCCTCCAGGAGTCGGCCACGGGCCAGCCCGAGCCCACCAGCAGCCCGGACAACAAGCCATTCAAGTGTAACACCTGCAACGTGGCCTACAGCCAGAGCTCCACCCTGGAGATCCACATGAGGTCGGTGCTGCACCAGACCAAGGCCCGGGCAGCCAAGCTGGAAGCCGCGAGCGGCGGCGGCAGCAGCAACGGGACCGGGAGCAACGGCGGCGGTGTGTCCCTCAGCTCCTCGACCCCGAGCCCCGTGAGCACCAGCGGCGCCAACACCTTTACCACCACCAACCCGAGCGGTGCTGCCGTGGCCCCGAGCTCCAACCTGCTGAGCCAGGTGCCCACGGAGAGCGTGGTGATGCCGCCGCTGGGGACTCCCATCGGCGCCAACCTCGCTTCCCCCGCGGAGCCCAAGGAGGCCAACCGGAAGAAGTTAGCAGATATGATCGCATCCAGGCAGCAGCAGCAGCAGCAGCAACAGCAGCAACAGCAGCAACAGCAGCAGCAGCAGCAAGCGCAGACGCTGGCCCAGGCCCAGGCCCAGGTCCAGGCCCACTTGCAGCAGGAGCTGCAGCAGCAGGCGGCCCTGATCCAGTCCCAGCTGTTCAACCCCACTCTGCTCCCCCACTTCCCCATGACCACCGAGACCCTGCTCCAGCTGCAGCAACAGCAGCACCTCCTCTTCCCCTTCTACATCCCCAGTGCCGAGTTCCAGCTCAACCCCGAGGTGAGCTTGCCGGTGACCAGCGGGGCGCTGACGCTGACGGGGTCAGGCCCGGGCCTGCTGGAGGATCTCAAAGCCCAGGTCCAGATCCCACAGCAGAGCCACCAGCAGATCCTGCAGCAGCAGCCGCAGCCGCAGCCGCCGCCTCAGCTCTCTCTTCCCCAGAGTCACTCAGCCCTCCTCCAGACGAGCGCGCACCCCGAGAAGAAGAACAAACTGGTCGTCAAAGAAAAGGAGAAGGAAGGCCAGCGAGAGCGGGAGGGGCCGGAGGGGCCGGAAGGGACCACGGGACCAAAGGAATCACTGCCGGATGCCTTGAAGGCCAAAGAGAAGAAAGAGTTGGCACCGGGGGGTGGTTCTGAGGGCTCCATGCTGCCTCCGCGCATCGCTTCGGACGCCCGAGGGAACGCGACCAAGGCCTTGCTGGAGAACTTCGGCTTCGAGCTGGTCATCCAGTACAACGAGAACAAGCAGAAGGTCCAGAAGAAGAACGGCAGGACGGAGCAGGGCGAGAGCCCGGAGAAGCTGGAGTGCGACTCGTGCGGCAAGCTCTTCTCCAACATCCTGATCCTCAAGAGCCACCAGGAACACGTGCACCAGAACTACTTCCCCTTCCAGCAGCTGGAGAGGTTCGCCAAGCGGTACCGGGAGCACTACGACAAGCTGTACCCGCTGAGGCCGCAGACCCCGGAGCCGCCACCACCCCCGCCACCGCCACCGCCGCCACCGCTCCCCGCCGCGCCCCCCCAGCCGGCCCCCACGCCGGCCATCCCCGCCTCGGCCCCGCCCATCACGTCGCCCACCATCGCCCCGGCGCAGCCCTCCGTGCCCCTCACCCAGCTCTCCATGCCCATGGAGCTGCCCATCTTCTCGCCGCTCATGATGCAGACGCTGCCCCTGCAGACCCTGCCTGCCCAGCTGCCCCCGCAGCTGGGCCCCGTGGAGCCCCTGCCCGCCGACCTGGCGCAGCTGTACCAGCACCAGCTCAACCCGACCCTGCTCCAGCAGCAGAACAAGAGGCCCCGCACCAGGATCACGGACGACCAGCTCCGCGTGCTGCGCCAGTACTTCGACATCAACAACTCGCCCAGCGAGGAGCAGATCAAGGAGATGGCGGACAAGTCGGGCCTGCCGCAGAAGGTGATCAAGCACTGGTTCAGGAACACCCTCTTCAAGGAGCGCCAGCGCAACAAGGACTCCCCGTACAACTTCAGCAACCCTCCCATCACCAGCCTGGAGGAGCTCAAGATCGACTCCCGGCCGCCATCGCCAGAGCCGCAGAAGCAGGAGTACTGGGGGAGCAAGAGGTCGTCGAGGACCAGGTTCACCGACTACCAGCTCAGAGTCCTCCAGGACTTCTTCGACGCCAACGCTTACCCAAAGGACGACGAATTCGAGCAGCTTTCTAACTTGCTGAACCTGCCAACGCGGGTCATAGTGGTGTGGTTCCAAAACGCCCGGCAGAAGGCCAGGAAAAACTACGAGAACCAGGGCGAGGGCAAGGACGGGGAGCGGCGCGAGCTCACGAACGATAGGTACATTCGGACGAGCAACCTCAACTACCAGTGCAAAAAGTGCAGCCTCGTGTTCCAGCGCATCTTCGATCTCATCAAACACCAGAAGAAGCTGTGCTACAAGGACGAGGACGAGGAGGGGCAGGACGACAGCCAGAACGAGGACTCCATGGATGCCATGGAGATCCTCACCCCCACCAGCTCCTCCTGCAGCACCCCCATGCCCTCCCAGGCCTACAGCACGCCGGCGCCAGCGGCCGCTGCAGCGCCCTCCGCGTTCCTGCAGCTCTCGGCGGAGGCCGACGACCTGGCCGCCTTCAGCTCGAAAGCAGAGGCCGGCAGCGACGAGAAGCCAAAGCAGGCCGACCCCCCCAGCGCGCAGCCGAACCAGACCCAGGAGAAGCAAGGACAGCCAAAGCCGGAGGCGCAGCAGCCAGAGCAGCCGGAGCCGAAGACCAACGCGCCGCAGCCCAAGCTCCCCCAGCTGGCCGCCCCCTCCCTGCCGCAGCCGCCTCCGCAGGCGCCCCCTCCGCAGTGTCCCCTCCCCCAGTCGAGCCCCAGCCCTTCTCAGCTCTCCCACCTGCCCCTCAAGCCCCTGCACACGTCTACCCCTCAGCAGCTGGCCAACCTACCTCCTCAGCTGATCCCCTACCAGTGTGACCAGTGCAAGCTGGCGTTCCCGTCCTTCGAGCACTGGCAGGAGCACCAGCAGCTCCACTTCCTGAGCGCGCAGAACCAGTTCATCCACCCCCAGTTTCTGGACAGGTCGCTGGATATGCCTTTCATGCTGTTCGACCCCAGCAACCCGCTCCTGGCCAGCCAGCTGCTGTCGGGGGCCATCCCTCAGATCCCGGCGAGCTCCGCCACCTCCCCCTCCACGCCCACCTCCACCATGAACACGCTCAAGAGGAAGCTGGAGGAGAAGGCCAGCGCCAGCCCCGGCGAAAACGACAGCGGGACCGGGGGAGAGGAGCCGCAGAGGGACAAGCGCCTGAGGACCACCATCACCCCGGAACAGCTGGAGATCCTCTACCAGAAGTACCTGCTGGACTCCAACCCGACCCGGAAGATGCTGGACCACATCGCGCACGAGGTGGGCCTCAAGAAGCGCGTGGTGCAGGTGTGGTTTCAGAACACGCGAGCTCGGGAAAGGAAAGGCCAGTTCCGGGCCGTGGGCCCCGCGCAGGCGCACCGGAGATGCCCTTTCTGCCGGGCGCTGTTCAAGGCCAAGACGGCCCTCGAGGCGCACATCCGGTCTCGGCACTGGCACGAAGCCAAGAGGGCCGGCTACAACCTGACTCTGTCCGCCATGCTCTTGGACTGTGACGGGGGGCTCCAGATGAAGGGGGACATCTTCGACGGAACGAGCTTTTCCCACCTGCCCCCAAGCGGTGGTGACGGCCAGAGCGTGCCCCTGTCGCCGGTGAGCAAGACCATGGAGCTGTCCCCCAGGACCCTCCTCAGCCCTTCCTCCATCAAGGTGGAGGGGATCGAAGACTTCGAGAGCCCCTCCATGTCCTCGGTGAATCTGAACTTCGACCAGACGAAGCTGGACAACGACGACTGTTCCTCGGTCAACACCGCCATCACCGACACCACGACGGGGGACGAGGGCAACGCCGATAACGACAGCGCCACGGGGATAGCGACCGAAACCAAATCTTCTGCGCCTAACGAGGGGCTGACCAAAGCAGCCATGATGGCCATGTCCGAGTATGAAGACCGACTGTCGTCTGGTCTGGTCAGCCCCGCCCCGAGCTTTTACAGCAAGGAGTACGACAATGAAGGTACAGTGGACTACAGCGAGACCTCAAGCCTCGCAGACCCCTGCTCCCCCAGCCCTGGGGCCAGCGGGTCTGCCGGCAAGTCCGGTGACAACGGGGATCGCCCCGGGCAGAAGCGTTTCCGCACCCAGATGACCAATCTGCAGCTGAAGGTCCTCAAGTCATGCTTTAATGACTATAGGACACCCACTATGCTAGAGTGTGAGGTCCTGGGCAATGACATCGGACTGCCAAAGAGAGTTGTTCAGGTCTGGTTCCAGAATGCCCGGGCAAAAGAGAAGAAGTCCAAGCTAAGCATGGCCAAGCATTTTGGTATAAACCAAACGAGTTACGAGGGACCCAAAACAGAGTGCACTTTGTGTGGTGTCAAGTACAGCGCGCGGCTGTCTGTACGTGACCATATCTTTTCCCAACAGCATATCTCCAAAGTCAAGGACACCATTGGAAGCCAGCTGGACAAGGAGAAAGAATATTTTGACCCAGCCACTGTCCGTCAGTTGATGGCTCAGCAGGAGCTGGACCGGATTAAAAAGGCGAACGAGGTCCTTGGACTGGCAGCCCAGCAGCAAGGGATGTTTGACAACGCGCCCCTCCAGGCTCTTAACCTTCCCACCACGTATCCCGCGCTCCAGGGCATTCCTCCCGTGTTGCTCCCCGGCCTCAACAGCCCCTCCCTGCCAGGCTTCACTCCATCCAACACAGGTGGGTCTGGCCCCAGCTGATGGTTTTCAGAGCTTGGGAGAAGCTCGGTCCTCTAATGTGGTTTCCCACACTGTGGGGCGGGCAAGCGTGAGGCAGGCGTCCCCGGAGCCAGTGGGCACCTGGATTCCTTGGACTGTCCTGCTTGGGGATGGAAGTGTCCGCTTCCAAGTCTCTCCTGAGGTCACTTTGGTGGTTGTCTGTTACTGAGAATCCTCTGCTAGACCAGTTTCCAGGGAGTGGCAAACCTTGCGGTCATGTGATCCCGCCTGTGTGGCCGTTATCACTAGAAGACAGTGGAATTTCCTAGCTAGGTCTGTATGTTGAGTCCTGTAGCAGCTGGCTGGAGAGGATTGAAATCAGCCCTTTGCCCTCACACCTGCAGCCTCACCCACGTTTTTGAGAGCAGGACTTCGCTCTTATGTGCTGGGTGCCTCCTCCGAGGGTTCTCTTGTCTTCAGAACAGTGACTAGTGCCTACAGGGACTTGGTTTGGATTCACCGACCAGGAACCTCGTACTGGGTGATGTAGTTTTAAGTTTAGACGCGAACACATTTAATCTTTCAGATATGTGACTAACGTGCACGCTAGGGATCCCATCTACCCTTTTGTTCTCCCTCCCCTCTCTCTTGCTCATCTGGAATCACACACGTTTGCTGCTTGCATGGCCTCTCCGAAAGATGGGGACTTTTTGCAGTTCTTCTGGCAGATGTTCCTTTGGCTCTCCTCATCTGTCTCCAGCCGCCTTCTCTTGGATCCAGCTGTCCCTCTTAGACTGGTCCTTTCTCTCAAGCATCCTGTAAGGGTTAGGCACACACTAGCAAGTAAGTCCAGACTACAAAGGCGTGTGCTCCCTAGTACACTCTAGCCCATCACAGCACCGCCTTGGCTTTCCAAGGCTTGAAGCTCCTGTTGCTCATTTCCCAGAGAAGTCCCGGGTTAAATTAACATAGTAAGTTTGGTGGTGTTTAACAGAAGATGAGCTACTGCGTTCCTGCGCTCAGCTTCTTACCAATGGGACCTAGAAAAGAAAGCCTCAGGACAGGGGTTTTTGTGTAAATACACAGACTGATGCTGAAGCCAGCAAGGCATAAACCTGAAAACAAACTCTGAGAAGTGGCCAGGCATTTGAACTCTCCTTGCAGCCCAGGATAGTGGCAGGAAGGCCTAGTATATATAATGATGTAAAAAAAAAAAAAAAAAAAAAAAAAAATGAGAGTATTGGGACCAGCAAGATGGCTCACTGGGTAAAAGCACTTGCCGTGCAAACCTGATGACCGAGATCAGAATCCACATAAAAATGCCAATGTGTTGGCGCATATCTGTAATCCCAAAATGCCAGATGAGAAGTGGAAACAGGAGATTGACCCGGAAGCTATGGGCCAGCTAACCTGGGTAGAGCTGGGCAGACATAAGAGAGACCCTGCCTCCACAGGGCAGAAGGTGAGAACTGATTCCCAAAAGATGTCCTTTGGCTTTCACAGTGCCACTATATGTTATATGTGATTCCACACACCCACATGTGATAATAAAAATTTCAAAGCAGAATTAGAATGTCTGCCGTACCCTTGTTTTACAGGTGAGAAATCTGAGGCCCAGAGAGGTCAAGGCCATTCAGCAAGCTAGGGTAGGAGCCAGAGCTCCCGAGCCCAGGCCTCCCGGCTCCCAGTGCTTCCACAACACCCAGCAAGAGCCAGTCAGCCAAGAGCTCTTTGCGCTGCCCAGGTTCTGACCACTTAGAGCAGAGTAGGGATAGAGAGGCATGCTCACCATCAGAGCAGCCAGATGTGCCAAAGTTGCCAGCCGCCACATCTGCTGCAGCTTGCAAACAGCTCCGGATCTGGCACGGAAGGGAAGGAACCTGTGTTTATCAGTCAGATGCTATACGCCAGGCCTGAGGCTAAGCTCTTACCACGCGGCCATTCGTTTCATCCCTGCAACCTTCCACTGTAGAAGGCCGAGGTTCCGAGAAGGGAAGCAAAGGTCAGACATCTGATGTAACCCGCACAAGGTCAGTCTGACTGCACAGTCACTGAGTTGCAGGGGGATGAAGTGCCTTGCCCAGTTCTGATCTTCCAGATCAGAAAGCCAGCGCCCCAGCAACAGTGCGAGGGCGCGTTGAGCGGCTGTCGAGTGAGGCCAGTGCAGGACTTGGTAAATGGCAGGGGTTCAGTTAAGTGTTCCTTAAAGTCTGGATCTCTTGGTAGTCCATCAGTTGAATACACACGGTCTCTGTGTAAGGCCTCCTGACCTGAATCTTTCTCTGGAAGCCATGGGTGTGGGCAAATCCACAGGCGTTCCTCCTGGACAGGCCCGCTGCCTACCGCCACACAGAAAGTCATGCCCGAAGCTTAGAGTTCGTAACCCCAACTCTGCCTCACCTGTGCCAGTTTAGCCAACAGGCCTTTGAACTTTCCTCGGTAGCCAGCCACATCTTCTTAGCTAGTCTCAGTCCCCAGTGTATGTTAAGTTGCCCACAGTGGCTCTTCCTGGGACTGGCAACCCTGCTCTTCTTTGATGTGGAGGTTTTGATACGCTGTATCATTTGAGCTGGCACAGTCTTCATCCAACTCTGGGCTTTGAAGCATTGGTGTCGTCCCCCCCCCACAGCTCCCATTAAGATGGTGTCATGCTACACAACCTCTACCTCAGCTTTCTGGGAGAAGGTGGTCCTGGTGAAATACTCAGGAGCTGTGAAGTGGCCTGTGGCAAACGTGGAGGTGGACGGGGTCTGCGTTATCAGGTGTCTATGTCTTCTTGGCATTTTCCACTTGTGAACCCTGCTCCTTCTCAGCACCCGCCATCTTGTCACAGCTGGGGCTTGGTGCCCTGTCCGCTGCAGTACTCTGTCCCATCGCCCTGGGCACAGCTGTGAAGGCCAGAGGCTCTTAGGCCCCGGGGTGGGTAAAGTTTTTGCGTGTAGTGGTAGGTTAGGGTTGAGCGAGCTCAGAGATAGACAGGACTGTTCGTTGGATGGTCTCAGGATTATATAGTCTGTGATCGCCGGCAAGCAAACACAGAGAAGTGACTGGGACAGGCCCAGGTACCTTGGGAATGGAGGGTATTACCCAGATTGTAACCCCACAGGCCGTGTTGTGTATCGTTTACACAGAGGCTGGAGGGGGTAGAATTCTGCCCCGGGGAATTACTGCTGCGCGTCAGAACCGAGGCCCTGGAGCCATTTCCCCGGAATGACGTGTTTTCTTCCTTCCCAGGCTCTTCCTCTATCTTCTCGTTCATCTTCTCTTCGCTCTCCTAAGGCGTCCACTCAGATGCAGTGGTGCAGACGTTGAGGCCGCGTGTAGACGCTGTTGTGACTGTTCCTGGGGCCTTGGAGTCCTGCTTGGGTTTTCTCCTGTGGCCATACTAGTTCTTCAGCACTTTGACCACAGCTTTGGTTTACCTGAGTCCCGGGTGCCAGAAACTAATCTGTGCCGGGCAAAATGAATGGAAATACACGACAAGGAAAGGTGGGCTAGTGCGTGCTGCCCTTGGGTAGAGAGATGCTACACATTTTCCTAAGTGGAGAAGCACGCAAGCTGATCCACACCTGTGTCTTGATTAAAAAAAAAAAAAAAGCATGGCCAGCTAACCCTGATCGCGGCAGGGTAGTCTTCGGAGAGGGCCCTTCAGGTTTAAACATCCATCCGTGTTGGTGCCAAAGACATGGGTGCGACGCCTCGAGCTTGTGACCTACCGCCCCTGTGGACTGACGCTTGATTTTTTTTTTTTTTCTTTCTGTCTCCATTCCCTTTAGCTTTAACGTCTCCTAAACCGAACCTGATGGGTCTGCCCAGCACAACAGTTCCTTCCCCTGGCCTCCCCACGTCTGGATTACCAAATAAACCGTCCTCGGCCTCGCTGAGTTCCCCGACCCCAGCACAAGCCACCATGGCGATGGCCCCTCAGCAACCCCCACAAGCCCAGCAGCCGCAGCCGCCGCCAGCAGCCCAGCCGATACCCACCCCGCAGCTCCCCCTGCAGCAGCCGCGCAAGGACAAAGATGGCGAGAAAGGAAAGGAGAAGGAGAAGGCGCACAAAGGGAAAGGGGACCCCCTGCCCGTCCCCAAGAAGGAGAAAGGGGAGGCCCCGACAGCGGCCACGGCCACCATCTCGGCCCCGCTGCCCGCCATGGAGTACGCGGTGGACCCAGCTCAGCTGCAGGCCCTGCAGGCGGCCCTGACTTCAGACCCCACCGCCCTGCTCACGAGCCAGTTCCTCCCCTACTTCGTGCCAGGCTTTTCTCCTTACTATGCCCCCCAGATCCCCGGCGCCCTGCAGAGCGGGTACCTGCAGCCTATGTACGGCATGGAAGGCCTGTTCCCCTACAGCCCTGCCCTGTCGCAGGCCCTGATGGGGCTGTCTCCAGGTTCACTACTGCAGCAGTACCAGCAATACCAGCAGAGCCTGCAGGAGGCTATTCAGCAGCAGCAGCAGCAGCAGCGGCAACTACAGCAGCAGCAGCAGCAAAAAGTGCAGCAGCAGCAGCAGCCCAAAGCAAGCCAAACCCCAGTCCCCCCGGGGGCTGCCTCCCCAGACAAAGACCCTGCCAAAGAATCCCCCAAACCAGAAGAGCAGAAAAACGTCCCCCGCGAGGTGTCCCCCCTCCTGCCGAAACCCCCCGAAGAGCCAGAAGCAGAAAGCAAAAGTGCGGACTCCCTCTGTGACCCCTTCATTGTCCCAAAGGTGCAGTACAAGTTGGTCTGCCGCAAGTGCCAGGCGGGCTTCGGCGACGAGGAGGCGGCGAGGAGCCACCTGAAGTCCCTCTGCTTCTTCGGCCAGTCTGTGGTGAACCTGCAAGAGATGGTGCTCCACGTGCCCGCCGGCGGCGCTGGCGGCGGCGGCGGCGGCGGCGGCTCGTTCCACTGCCTGGCGTGCGAGAGCGCGCTCTGCGGGGAGGAAGCGCTGAGTCAGCATCTCGAGTCGGCCTTGCACAAACACAGAACAATCACGAGAGCAGCAAGAAACGCCAAAGAGCACCCTAGTTTATTACCTCACTCCGCCTGCTTCCCCGATCCCAGCACCGCATCTACCTCGCAGTCTGCCGCTCACTCAAACGACAGCCCCCCTCCCCCGTCGGCCACCCCGTCCTCCTCGTCCGCTTCCCCCCACGCCCCCAGGAAGGCCTGGCCGCCAGTGGGCTCCCGGGCCTCGGCCGCGAAGCCCCCTTCTTTCCCCCCTCTCTCCTCATCTTCAACGGTTACCTCAAGTTCATGCAGCACCTCAGGGGTTCAGCCCTCGATGCCAACAGACGACTATTCGGAGGAGTCTGACACGGATCTCAGCCAAAAGTCCGAAGGACCGGCGAGCCCGGTAGAGGGTCCCAAAGACCCCAGCTGCCCCAAGGACAGTGGTCTGACCAGTGTAGGAACGGACACCTTCAGATTGTAAGCTTTGAAGATGAACAGTTACAAATGAATTTAAATTAAAAAAAAAAATTAATAACAAACCAATTTCAAAAAAAAAAAAATAGACTAACTGCAATTCCAAAGCTTCTAACCAAAAAAACAAAAAAACAAAAAAACAAAAAACAAAAAAAAAGGAAAAAAAAAAAAGAAAAAGCGTGGGTTGTTTTCCCATATACCTATCTATGCCGGTGATTTTACATTCTTGTCTTTTTTTTTTTTTTTTTCTTTTAATATATATAAAAAAAAGAAAAGAAAGAAAACACAAACCCTCACCCTATTACATTGTGCCCTTTTAAAGGTACTATTGGTCTGGGAACCTGAAGTCCGCAGGGCCTGCCTATTGTTGTTGGAGCTTATACCCTTGTATATTTGTACCCCTTTGAGAACTGCCCACCTTGATAGCACAGAGAAGCCCAGCCCGGCATGCACTGTATGGGAAAGCACTCCACCTCGTTACCGTTTTCAATTCCTTGCTATCTTAGCATTCAGATACCAATGGCTTGCTAAAAGAAAAAAGGAAAAAAAAAAAAAAAGAAATGTAATGTGTTTTTATTCTCAGGTCAATCGCTCACACTTTGTTCTGTTTTCAGAATCATTGTTTTATATGTTTGTTTTGTTTTGTTTTTCTCTTTCGTTCCAGAAAAGATTTTTTTTTTGTTTTGTTTTGTTAATTTAAAAAATGGGCAGAAAGTATTTCAAGAAAAACAATGTGAACTGCTTTAGCTTTCTGGGGATTTTTGAGAATAGCTTTTCTGCTGAAGCCAATTTCAAGGGGAAAAGTTAAGCACTCCCACTTTCAGAAGAAAGAAAAAAAAACCCACACACAAAGAGTGTTGAGGACTTGTAGCTTAAAAAAAAAAAGAGTTTTAAAAACTGACTTTCTGTATTTATGGTAGGTATGACCATTTTTGGTGTTGAGTAGATTGCTGCATTGGAAACGAGCTGAAGCAGTAGACTTAAACCCTTTGTGCATTTAGCTTTTGTGTGGTCCAGCAGCAGCTCCTAATTTGATGTTGTCTTGTTCATACCTAGTGGATAGGTTGCAATCTGTTGCTTCACCCAAGCTTCTATTCCTTGTGTCCCTTAATTCAACTTTGTCTCTCCCCCAACTCCCCCCAACTCCCATCTTCTAATCTCCCACTTAAAGTGGCTGCCTTCGTTTCTTGGAGGGTGGCTGTAGAACTATTTTATAAAAGCTAAAGAAAGCATTTCAAGAGGATTCTAGAGATAATCAGGATCCTCACAGATTATTTTTGGTTGGGGAGTTGAGACTCTGGAAGGCATTTAATTCTAGTTACCTGTGTCTGGTAGCCCTGAGTATTGACTATTTTATTTATCCCTCCTTTGCTTTTTATTTGTGCCCCTTCTCTTCCTCCTCCTCCTCCTTGTTCCTCTCTCTCTTCTCTGTCTCTCTCCTTCCCTCTCCCTCTCCTCTTGATCTGTGGACACTTCAAATATTCTTTTCTTGAACTAAGACATTCGTTTCAGTCTGTGTAATTGGGGCTGTGTGCTTTTCTTTCTAAGACGTTTTTTGGATAGAGATTTGGTCTTGGTTTTTGTGTTTGTGTCTTTTCTTTCCTCTCTCAGAAAAAGAAATTTCATGCTTTAAAAAAAAAAAAATCCAAAGACACACCCTTTCACTGCTGATGCAGAAAAGGGGGAAAGGGTTCTTGTTACTTGAGAATTTGTTTCTGATTTAAACAAACAAGACTTAGTTTAATAAAAGAAAGAAAGAGTAACACAAAAGAGTTCCCAGGTTGTCAGGCGCTTCTTCTGCACTCAGAGAGGCAGTCGTTAATGACAATTCCAGATACCAAAAGACGCATTTTTTTACTTCAAAGTTTTGTCCTTGTGTTAGGCAGTCTGAGCAGCGAGTGATCCAGAATGCAGCCAACAAAGCCAGATAGCAATGGAGAGAGAGAGAGAGAGAGAGAGAGAGAGAGAGAGAGAGAAAGGAAACACGTGCATGAGGCACTCGTGTTTATGTTAATACTCACATCCCTCCATCACAACACAGTGCAACACACACCCTTTTTCATCTTAAAAAAAAAAAAGGTCCGAAATTTGAAAGGAAAACTTAGTGCTGCTAAAACTTAAGTTTTGAAGACACATAGATGCTTTGCTATTTCACGTTCACAGCCAAACACCAACAGACACAATGTCCCTTGTCCCCAAAGTGTGATGAAGTCCCTCGCCCTCACTCTCTTCCTCATGTTTCAAAGGGAACTTTGAAGACTGTGAATCCAGGTTCTGCTGGCCACCTTCCAGGCTTCTCCCCCGAGCTGAAGCCACTCATCAACTTTGCAAAAGACTGGAGCATTCCACGATCTGAAAATTGTCATTTTTCTTATTCTTTTTTTTTTTTTCTTTTTTAGCCGGGACTATTTTTATGAATTTGTTTTTAGTTAAAGAGTAGATCCTGAACTGTTGTACATATTTCTAACTAGGCTGATGCACAGTGCAAATTCCTTTTTTTTTTTTTAAATTTTTTTGAAAGTAGAAATACTAAAAGAATACCATCTTAACTATTCATATCAGTATCCAGTTGTAGCATAAGGTGTCAAAAACAAGTACGCAAAACACTTAACTGTTTTAAATAGCTATTTCCTTTTAACAAGAATTCTTGTATTTCTCCCTGTGTTTTGAGATGAACACTTTTAAATTTTAAAGTTGTACAGTTTTTTGTTTTCCATTATTTTATCTTGTTTGTAACTCTATGAAATATATATATATATTTTTTGCCATTTAACTGTTGTATGTTACTGTGTCTGTATCTATAGAAAAAAATGTTTGTTTTGGTTCTCTGTGTGATACCAGTTAACAGTTTAACACTAGCTTTACCTGTCAAATTCTGCTAGGTCTTCTCTGAAAACTGTTATTTTTAAAACGATATTGCTTGGTAATAGTGCAATTTCTACCCTCCCCACCCCCCCAACCTCAAGTTTCTTTGTAACCCTGCCAGCCCTTGCCCAGTGATTTTTGTTTGTTCTGTTTCAAGCTACTATCATCTTCCATCTGTGAGGCAGAGTGGGCATCGGTGTTTCACTGTACCATGCCTTGACCTGTGGGTGTGTTTGGCAGCAGTAAGGCGGGCTGGGGTAGGACTGCTCAGCATGCTTCTAACCCACCCGTGTTCCCCAAACGAGGTGAGTGACTATTTCAGCCTGGAGTAGCTTTCCTCTCCGGTCGCGCCACCCACATGTATGTTCCGTCAAAGAAGAAACCCTCAGCACCAGCCCAGAAATAGCAAAGCAGTCAGTGATGGTGAAGACCGGAGGGCAGACAAGAGCCGGTCACGGCCGTGTGGCCACAGTGTGTGTCACAGCAGCACAGAGCCTGAGCTTACTTACTACAGCGCTCAGCTGTTTAAACGGATCTCACTTGGGAGAGCTTACTCCTGTCTGCTGCTGGAACGGGTGGTTGAGTAGACCGTCTCAACTCACTTTTAAAATTAGTCCGTAACTCTCATTGGCACTTCTTTTTTTTAGCTGAGGGCAGGAATTCCCCCCCCCAACCCCACCGCACCCCGTTCCTTCATGCTGTGGCTCGATGCTAGACACTACTTGGCATACAGCACCAGGATACCTGTCAGAATTGGAGTTATTTCACGCGTCCTTTCTCCATCCCTCCCTAAAGAAACGTAAGAAGGAACACACACGTACAGACACACGCTTACTGCATCTTGGAAGTTTGTTTTTTGGTTTTTTTGTTTTGTTTTGTTTTTAATAATTAAAAGCTATTTAAAAAAAGATGAATGTGGCCAAAGTTTTACACAATTGAAAATAAAGTAAAACAGGCGGCACGTGTTGAAACCTGAGTTTATCAGGCATGGCAGGAAGTTGCAGGAGAGAGGCAATGACTCAAGCCAGTGCACTTGATGTTCATGGACATATATTTTTTTTAAATAATAAATTAAATTAAAACATTTTAAATAGAAGCATAAAATTGAGTTGGTTGTTTGTTGGCGCTGAGATACTGCCCACTGTGAAACAAAGCTTTGACTAGTTTTTGTTTTGTTTTGTTTGTTTACTTTCTTCAGGGGGGGAGGGGGGCCAGTTTGGGTAGGAAAGAAAGCATAAATGAACGTGACCCTGAGGTAAAGAGGTATATGAACAGCCTTTGCAATGTACAAAAAACAACAACAAAAAAAACCTACAAAAAAAACAAACAAAAACAAAAAAAAAAAAAAACAACAAAAAAATAGAGCAAGTGAAACCAAAAATGATGTTCTTGGTGTTTTTTCTATAATGTAGTCTTGTTAGCTTTTTTGTTACTGTAAACGATGCTGATCCCTGAACTGTACCAAAATACATGGAGACTAACAGAACCACAAGGAACTCTCAACCTGAAAAAGAAATTTGTCACAAAAACTTTGTTGTCATAGTTAAGTTGATTGTAGATGGTAATTGAATATTACTCCTTTGAAAATATTTCATCAAGTATGTTTCCTGCTCATTGTGATACATTAAAAAAAATATGAGCAAAAAAAGTCCTTGTCTGGTACCAGATTTGTGTGCATGTATGGGAACATCCATGAAAGAGGTGCCCGAAGCTGGGGAGAGTGTAGACTGCATCGGTGTCCTAAGGCCGTGTGTGCCAAGTGTACTTAGCCCAAGGTGCGTGAGGAGGCACATGGGCCACAAATACTCTCCTGCGTCTTTGTACTGGCTATCTTACCGGACTGCGCAGAGTAACCTGATGCCTTGGAGGGGTCCTGCTGCAGAGAACCCTCGTAGTTAACCTGGTTTTCTAATGGAGATACCTGTTACAGCTTCAGGCAAGGCCATTTTGCTGATGGTCAGGAGATAGAGCAAGGTTCAGTGTTTCTAAAGTGGGAATTGGAGCTAGTGTTTACAGCAGAAGGAAGCGAGCGGTAAACTGAACTAAGTGGCCAGGCAGTTTACTTGTCCTAGCAAAGGGCTTGTCGCAGCTTCTGGTAAGAGGATTTGGGGCAGCCGTACTGGAGAGCATGGGACTCAGGCCCAAAGCTCCTCACGGAAACCTTCCGCTCTACAGTGGAATGCTTGAGAGTCGCTAATAAGGAGCATATCCATGAGTGAGCCCAAAGGCCTTTGATTCATCTCTAATTTATTAGCCACTGCTGAGAAATAATTTCAAGAACTCCAGCAGCTGGGCTTGGGCGCCACTGCAGCCTGGCTGTGTCCTTGCAGGGCTGCCAAATCAGCCCTCAGCCAACTGGAATCTCTTCTTCCAGGGTGTCAAGTTAAAGAGCCCTGTTCCATTGGCTCAGACAGCTACTGTCCCCCCCCCCCCCCACACACACACCTTGGTTTGTGCAGCAGTGATCCTGTTAGCTCAAGATCTCAGTCTGCAAGTATCACAGGCATTACTTGGACACTAAGAAAGCTGCTTCTACAAGCCAGTGCTCGAAGCTCTGTGTCAGACAAGTACTGTCACTGCCCCCAGAGAAATCTGGCTATTTCCCCAGGCATTGGATGTTTTGGTGTGGCTGAAAAAAAAAGCAGATGGCTGCACAGCTGTGCCACTCATCTTCTCAGCCCATGAAAACCATGCCATACGATAAGAGTTACTAAGAGCCTAGACCATCATCTCTGCCTTTCCATGCCACAGCTGGGGAGATTGAGTTGTTTTAAATAGAAGGGTTTTGCATAGACTGCCCATTCTTCCACAGGTAAAGTTTTACCCAGAGAATTGGTAGAGTTGGGTTAGAAACCAACAACATCTATCTATCTATCTATCTATCTATCTATCTATCTATCTATCTATC